ATTAGGACGCTGTGAAGCGCTGTGATCTGCCCCCTCGTGCCCAGCTCCGCGAGACGGCCGGCCCCACGGGCCCTAACGAAGGGGTGATTTACGGGCATGTTGTCGACGGCTTGCTGCGGGGGAGGGGGCTCCAGAGCCCCGAGGAGCCAGGGGCCTGCGCAGGCCACATGTGCACAGGGGTCCGGCTGGGGTGCCCTCTGGGCAGGGACTCCCCCGACCCCCCACCCCCTTGGCCCCAGGCTCCCCGGGGGCTGTGGAGCCCAGGGCTGGGCTACGTTCATTCCGCAAACGTTCGCCAGCGCCCCCCCCAGCGCTGGCGAGGAAGGGCGGGGCGCCCAGGCGCGTTGAGCCCGATTCTAGTGAGAGACACACACACACGCTGGGTGTCTTGGGGGAAAGACGTTAAGGGCTGCTCGGGGGCGTCGGGAGGGCGGGCCTCGGGTCGCTGACGTTGGTGAGACCTCAGGGTGGGAGTGGCCGGTGCAGGCAGCAGGAGCATCCCGGACAAAAGCCACCATGTTTGGGGACCAGCCCAGAGGTCTAGAGTGGAGTGAAGGGAAGAAGGAGGGGAGGCCAGAGAGCAGAGGGGGGCTCGGCTTCTGGGAGGAGTGAGGCGGCAGGCGGGGAGGGCACGGCAGGGCCACGATGCGACGCACCAGGTCATCGTGTAGAAGCTCATTGCAGGGAAGGCTGGCGGCTGGCAGGCTACTGCAACTGTCCCAGCAAGAGAGCATGCGGCCTGGGCCTGGGGGTGGGGGCTGGGCAGGGGTCTCCCCAGCTCTGCCGACAGACACAGTGCTGAGCACGATGCCGAGATTTGGAGGCATCTCCTGCGGCGAGGAAGCCACAGAAGGGACAGGACGGGCCCAGAGAGCTGGAAAGGCCTAATGGGGGTGCAGGGCGCTGGGCACCTCAGTCTGCACGTGTGGGCGTGTGTGCCTGGCCCGAGCCTGGTGCGCTCCGGATCCAGAGGACAGCGGGCCTCAGCGGTCACATCAGGGTGGCCCTCCTCCTGGCACAGTCAGTGGGGGGAGCTCTGGGCACCCACCCTGGCGCCTCTGCTGGGTGGCCTCTCTCGGTGGACACGGGAGCCTGGCATCGCCTGCATGTGCTGAGGCCCAGGGCCATGCCCACAGGAGCGGGCACAAGCCTGGCAGCCCTCGGGGATAGAGACCCCAGACGTCCTGGGGGGGGGCGGCCAGGACCACCTCCTGTGCTCTGCTCAGTGGCCCCGCGCCCCAGGTGGGGTGTCGCCCCCCTCGGTCTTTCCTGCGTCCAGCAGGGCCTGCAGGCCTGCTCCACGTGGCCAGGCTCTGTCGGGGGCAGGCCGGTCAGAACTCACTCCTCAGACCCGTGTCCCGCCCTGTGCTGGGGGCCTCCCATGAGCTCTGTGTGTTTGGGAGGGGTGGGGGGCGGCTTTGGGTGAGACTTTGAGGGGCTGCTGGGGCCCTGGGGCCCCCGGACAAGCAAGGTGCACTTCTGCCCTGAGCTCTCCGGCACAGGGCTCCCTCCTGGCTGGCCGAAGGGACCCCTGGCCCGAGCCCCTCCTAGCCCTGCCCCCAGCTGTGTGCCAGCCACGCCCCTTCCTCCAGGAAGTCCCCAGGGACTCGAGGTGCACTTGAACCCCAGCCGAATTGCCGTCTAACGGGCTCGGCAGTGGCGGGGCTGGGAGAACAGGGACATGCAGGTGTGTCAGGTCTGCGGCCAGGGTGGGAGGGGGAGACGGCCCGTGGGCCCCCCACCTTCCCTGGGCCTTCACTCCCACACCTCCCCGGTGTCAGAAGTGGGAGGGCCGGGAGAGCAGGGGCCTGCAGGAGGGGCAGGGGCAGGGAACAGGTGAGGTTATGCAGAGTCAGGACCCCCGCTCCCTGCGCCCACATGGGTGCTGGACGGTCTGCAGAGAGGAGGGCCCACGGGACCTTGGCCCTGGGACCCTACGGACGGCTCGAGGAGTCCCGAGAGGAGCCCCTGACCCACAGTGACCCCAGGGCACCGCAAGCTGTGTCCCCGAGCCGGGGGCTCCCTCCCCTCGAGCCCCGGGCCTCGGTGTCTCCCACCCCCCGCCCCTGGCTGTCTCCCCCCAGTGCAGCCAGGGCCATCAGCAGATCCAGGGCTGGGATCAAGGCCAGGCAGGTTCTGCAAAAATTTCCCTTGAAAGACTCTTTTTCAAGATTTTCTTTTGAAAACAAGTTCATAACCACATCACACAGGTACCCTGTCGCCTCGGGTTTGATCACCAGCCGCCCGGGGCCCTCTCGCTCGCTGTTACTCTGATTGCTTTCTTCTCCTGCGAGGGCTGCGTGCGTCGTCTGGGGAGTCGGGGCGAGAAACAAGGGCCCCTTTGTTGGCCCTACCCTTTCAGTCCCTATCAGATTGCGAGGAGGGGTGAGGTCCCCGATCCCCAAAACCCATCCGTCCCAGCGGCTCCGGGCCCGAGCGCGGCCGCCTGTCCCCCACCCCCCGCACCCGCCAGGTGACGCACCTCGGTGGTCCATGGCCGCTCCCCCAGCCCACCCGAGCCCTCACCACGCCTCGCCTTCCAACACGTGAGCGGGACAGAGTCACCTATGCTCGGGCGGAGAAGACGGAGCACGGGACAGGCCACCTCGGGGCCATCTCGCTGAGAAGTGACAGAGTCAGGCCCAAGGCCAAACAGGAGCTACCTGCCCATCGCCCCAGCTCGGGCCCTCCGGAGCCCACGGGCCTGGGCGAACAAGGCGCCGGCCAGGGGTGTCCCGGGACCACCCTGATGCCCTGCCCCCCAGCACCAGAGGGTCTGACTCCATCGGCCACTGAGGGCAGGGACCACCCCAGGGCCTGGGAGGCTGGGCCGTGCAGGGCAAACTCGGGGTGCTCGGAGCCAGCAGCTGAGCCCAAAGTAGCCCTGGCGGCGGGGTGGCACCCAGGCCGGCCACCGAGCTCCGGGAGGTGTCACGGCTCCGGGCGTAGGGGCCTGGAGGGCTCGGAAGGCGCCCCTGCCTGCCCCAGCACGGACCGCAGCGCCCAGGTGGCCCCGAGAGGCCCGAGCTTGTCACCCGGCCTCCCCGCCTGCAGCCCGGTCACACTTCTGTTTCCCCTTTGCCCGAGAACACAGCCTAGAAGCTCCCAGACCCCCATGCACGTCTCGGGGCTTCGACAGATGTGCACGTGCCGTAGGGCGAGAATTCCGGAAACCACAAATTCCCCTCTGTAATGTGTTCGGTGCTGTAATTCATGCCAGACCGATCGATACCCGAGCCGGGCCCGCACAGGTAAACGCCAATGCGCCACGCGCAGACGTGCCTTGTTCAAAGCCGGTGTGCGGGCCCCGGGAGCCCAGGTGACAGTGTGACAGCGAGCAGCCCCCGCCATGTCCCCTCCTGGCTTTCTCACTGCGAGTGTCCACCCAGCCTCTGAGCTCAGCTTGGACCCCCGTTCTCACCCCTTCCCAGGACCGGCCGCTTCTGCTCTGCCCCTCCCTGACCGATACACGTGTCTTCCCGGCACGGAAGCCCAGGGGTGGGGGTCCCAGCTGGTGACCGTGAGCAAGTCCTTCTTTTCTTGGTGCCTCAGTCTGTGGTCTCCAAACGGCTCTACAGAGAACGAGGGTGTTGGACGGGCATCTGGGGGGAGTTCGGGGTCTGGGTGAGCTGAGCGGCCCCAGGCCCCACCCCCACTGAACCCGAGAAGCCCCACTCCTCTCCCCCTTCCCTCTATAGGGGCTCCTGCATCAGATTTGTCCGGGAGAATAGAAGACAAGGTCCCTTGGGGCCGGGTGGGGGAACCTCAGACGGGCCGCTGTCCAGCAGTCACAGCACCGCAAAGCTGGGGACGGGTCACCCGGGTTTGGCCTCCGGGGCAAGGGCAGACCCCTCACAGGTGGCCCTGCTGATGGGGGAGGGGGTGCTGTTGGCACAGGGGCTCCTTCTTCTGGCTGCCATCTTGCCCTGCCTGGTGCAGGGTCTCACGTGAAGGGACTCTGGCTCCTCAGGAGGGACCCCTCTTTGCATCTTGTTCCTGGCGCCCCCTCCCCTCCCCTCCAGCTCGGGGTCTAGGGTGGGCAGTGGGTGGCCGGCCACCACACCACGTGGTCCGCCCTGGGGACCAGCTCCTGGGCCTCCAGCCCTCGGGAGGTTTAAGGCAGCTTCTCCAAGCAGCACCTTCCCCGGGGCCCTCGCGCCACCACCTGGCTCTGCCCGGCCCCGGGGCAGCAGGGCCCAGGCGCGTCCCGGGGCCAGGGCGGAGACGTCAGGCGGGGCTGGCCTCCCCCTCTCCCATGCCCAGTCTCCCATCCTCGCCTGTCCGGTGCGCCCGGTACCCCAGGCAGCGGGGGGAAGGCCTATGTGGTTCTCTGATGCGCACCGTGAAGGAATCGCCCTCCAGGGCACCACAGCCCCCGCACCGCCCCAGGCCGGCCGCAGCCCCTGCACCCTGGCCCCGCCGCCGCCTCTGCTGGGGAGGCGCTCACTGGCCCTGGGCCATGCTGCGCTCACACTCGCTTCCAGTTTCACGGGGTGACCCTGTCTGGCTCACCACGGGCAGCCCCAGGGCTCAGCAGGACAGGCTCTTGCAAAGACTGTTGGGCCCTGTGGCCAGAAGGAGCTCGGAGGCCCCCCAGCCTGACCCTGGGGGGTCGGTGCAGATGGGGTCCTGATTTCCTGGCTCCGCAGGAAGGCGGTGGTGCCGGCCGTAGGGGTCAGAGAACAGACCCCACCCCACGACCCTTGAACCCTTCCCAGGGCTCCACTTTCGGGAGAAGCGGGGGGAGGTCCTCCCTCCACCCACGTGTCTCCACAAGTGTGGACACACGGGGGCCCTGGACACACATGTGCACGTTTCACGCACATGCAGGCGTGGCTGAGGCCAGGGCACAGCTCACATTTGCACAGACCCTCGGGCACACGGGCCTGGGCACCTCCTGCCCCTCCCCCCACCCCCAGGACTCATGCAGCCCAGGGCCCCGAGGCTGCCTGCACACCTGGGCTGCCCCCGCTGACTCACCTGTGCTCCTGTCTCCGCAGGTGACACAGCTGGACCAGAGGCTGGTGCTCATCACGGACTTGCTTCAGCAGCTGCTGTCCTTGCACCACGGTGGCCCCCCGGGCGGCCGCACCCCCAGTGGGGGCGGGGCTCAGGTGCTCCAGCCCCACGGCCCCATCAACCCCGAGCTCTTCCTGCCGGGCAACGCCCTGCCCACCTACGAGCAGCTGACCGTGCCCCGCAGGGGCCCCGAGGAGGGGTCTTGATGGGGGCTTGGGGCCCCAGGCCTTCGAGGGAAGGCCCAGAGGAGCCCGGTCCAGCCGGGCCCACCTCCCACCCAACAGGGGCACCCCTGGGTCACTGGCTCCTCCACGAAGGCCCAAGAGAGCAGCCCCTCCCTCGCAGGCCCCGACCCCCCACGGCCATGCTGTCCTGAGAGCCTGCTCTTAAGGCGTCACTGAGGCCGCCTCTCCCCAGCCAGCAGGTACTCGAACTTGGCTGGGTTTGGGGGCCGTCTCAGCTCTGAGACCATACCATGGACCCCGCGTCACTCGTAGGGAGGTTGGGACACAGTGGCTGGGCTCAGGCTGGACCCCCCGGGTCTGGGCACCCTGGGCACTTGGTCCACCCCATGTGGGGCCAAGAAACAGCACAGGGGCCTGCGTGCCAGCCCACCCTGGCAGGCCCCAGGGGGCTCCCTAAGGGGGACAGAGACGGTCTGGACAGGGTCTGTGGGCACCACACCCCCGGGCTCAAACCAAGACCCCTGGAGAAGGCAGGCAGGGCAGGGCAGGCCCAGCCCATGCCAATTTGAGGATGCCAGGATGGAGGCCCCGGGCCGGCCCTGCTTCCCGCTCTGCAGAGATGCCGGCTCGAGGCCGGGCTGTGAGGGAGAGGACCCTGCAGCCACAGCTTCGGGCAGGAGGACCAGCCCCCCGCGGCCCCCGGAGTGCTCCCCTAGGGTGGAACATCCCCCACTTTGGACTGGCTGCTGCCCCCCGCCCCCTGTGCACGGCCCCTGCCTCAGCTCCCCGCCGGGTCCGGCTGCTGGTGGTGGGGGAGCGTGAGGGCATCACAGCCCCCGCACGGGACAGGGGCTCCTCCTGGGCGTCGTCTCACAGAAATCAGAACAATTTAAGGTGATTTGGAATCTGTGTTTTAATGAGTTTCACAGTATGATTTTGACTGTTAATTGTGACATTTTTCCTAATAAACATGGAGTCACTGAGCTGGTCGGGGTCTGCACTTGCCTGTGTTCCCGAGGGAGTGGCCCATCCCTGGAACAGCCCCGTCCTCTGGGGAGCACCCCCCGTCGGTCCTGCCCAGGGAAGGAGAAGAGGCCCGCGCGCCCCCGCCTGCCGTCAGGAGGGTCCCTTGCAGTGACCCACAGCACCTTGAGGCCAGGCCTGCCTGCCCTGTCCCTGCGGCCAGCACCGAGGTCAGCTCCAACCATGCGAGCTGCGCAGAGGGAAGGAAACGTGGTCTGCCACCCAGGCCTCGCCCCTTTGCTGGAATGTTCTTCCCGCCCTCACCTCCTCGCACTGAAATCGCTCCTTTGGTCCGCGGCCCAGCTCAGAGCCCCTCCTGCAGTGAGCTCTCCCTGGAAGCCCCTCGTGACAAGCAGCCCCCTCTAGGCCTCGTGACCCCCCCAAGGGACGGGGTGATGGGCAAGGTCACTGTCCCCAGACAAGCACGGGGCTGGAGCTTGGGGACCCTATCCTCCAAGCCCACGGCCACACACCAGCTGCACACTCGGTTTTTGGGCCACAAGGCTTGGTGTGGACAGGCCGGCATCCAGCCCTCCCCTGCCCGCCTACCTGTGGGCACCTGGGCCCCGCCAGCCCCTCCCTGGCCCCTCCCGCCTGGCGGACAGGAACCCTCAGGTCCCCTTACAGGCAGGTGCCCAGGGGGCTGCTAAGTATGAACTCATCGTCTGTTTCACAGGGGAGGGGCCAGGGCTCAGCTCACGGAGGCTGCGGATCCCATCAAGGCGGCAGCCCGGGTTGGCCTGCCTCCCGGGGGGCGCTGTTGTGGCCCCGGGCTTGCCCCCGGGGCAGCTCTGGCCACTTGGCGTGGTCAAGATGTGGTCCCTGCCTGTCTCCCAGCAGCCCCTGATCCCCCGGGAAAGGCAGGCACCTTGGCAGGACCCAACACTCAACCCAGGCCTGGTTGGAGCCGTGGGTGCCGGGTGAGCGGGGACAGCCACCTCAGGGGGACGCTGCTCTGTCCCTCCAGCCCAGAGTGGCCCTGGACCAAGGGCCGACAGGCTCCACCATGGCAGTGGGGCGTGTCCAGGCCCACCCTCCCTTTAAGGAGCTCAAGGGGCACAGACTAGACCCCCTGGCGGGGGAGGATGCCCACACCCCCTCAGCCTTGACTTCCCCATCGGTCACAAGGGGTCCCCCAGGCCTGTCCAGCGTCAAGCAGGCGAGGGAGCCCCAGCCCACCCTCACCCCACCCCATGGGTGCCCGCGGCCCTCTGGGAGGCCCCCACCAGCCGCGCTTGGCCAGGGCGGGGGGCCACTCTGCCCTACACACCTGTTCTCTGTCCTCTGGGCCGGCGGTGCCCTCCCCTACTTCCGGAGCGCACCCACGTTCCCAGGCCAGCAGGGCCCTGGGTCCCCGCACTGCTGAGCCCCATTGGGTCGGTGCCCCCCGGTGAGGGGGGGTCCCACCGTGGGGACTTGGTATCTGGCCTGACCGGTGCAGGCCAGGGCGGGGGAGGGCAGGAGGGGCAGCGCAGGGCCCAGGGCCCGCCCCCCCTGCGCTCGCGGGGGAGGGGCGGGAGCAACAATTACTGGAAAGGCAAAAGCCGTTGTTTCCTCGTTGGGTAAACATTTGTGGAAACCCCAGGAAGCGGCTGGCTGGAGAGCAGGGCCGCTGCGCTGCCCCAGCCCCCGGCCCCGGCACCCCGGCCCCCCGGCCCTTGGTGTGCGCCGCGGCGGGGCCGCCCATCTGGGCAGGGCACGGCCCCTGCACCCAGCCCGGCTTTGTTTTCCGTATTATCGACTGAGCACAAAGTGCTCACTCCTGGACGGGCCATTGCGGCCCTCTCGGGTGTGAAATGCAATTTACCTGAAATAAAGCCCAATTATGGAATTAGCTAATTAAAGCCCGCGGTGGAGGCTGGGCCCGGCCGGCCGGGCGCTCAGTGCCCGCCCGGTGCCCGCGGTCTCAGGGAACAGATGGCGCCCCGGCCCGCTGCGCCGGCCGCATTCCTTCACTCTGTCCCCCCGATAACTGACTTAGACAGCACACGGCCATCTGGTGTATGACACGTCCTGTGTGCCCTGGACAATGGCCCAGCAGACCTCTCCGGGAGAGGGCCGTCGCCCGGGCAACGGTGGCATGTGCAGCCCAGGCCCACCGGGGCCCCCTCCCCCACCCCTTTGTGGGCCCCGCGCGCGGCTGCCTGGCTCTCGCCGCCGACAATACCCACGAGTATTTGTCCGCAGGCTCCCGGCCTTTGTCTCCACGCTGGGCTCCTTGTTGAGACCCTCAGTGGCCGATGGGTGCCGGGAGCATCTGCTGGGGTGACAGGGTGGGGGCTGCCCTGCCGCCCGCTCCCCAGGGCCCCCCTCCCGGGGCTGGGTCTTCCCCAGGGGTGTGCCCCCTGGATGGCACCTCACAGGTGCTGGGCTCAGCCGAGCGGGCCGGGCTCCGAGACCCCGTGTGGGCCCCACCCAAGGGTCACCCAGGTTGGGGGCTGGGGGCCGGGAGAGGAGGGTCTGCGCAGGTCAGGTCCCCGCGCCTGCCACCGCGTGTCTATGAAATGGGAACCATAAAGGTGTCCCTCAGGAGGGTGTGGGGGAGGGGCTGACGGAGCTGAGACGGGTAGGCTCTGGGCCTACATCTGGCACACAGTCGGTGCTTAATAACAGCAGCCAGACACACAGCCTGGGAGATGCCTGAGGGCTGGGCTCGACCTCCTGGACGCCCCCCTCCGGCCAAGCCGACAGGACCCCTCTGAGCATCTTCCTGGCCCCTCCCACCCCAGGCCGCTCCCGTCCTGCACGCAGACCAGCCCCAGAGGCTCCGCGAGCCCCCGAGTCTCTGGGCAGGCCAACCCCCACTCGCCCCTGGGCCGGGCCCTGAGCTGCCAGCGGGCACAGTACCCTGCCGGGCGGGGGTCAGGAGCTGTGCCCACCGGCATGCCACTGGAGACCACAAGGGGAGGCCAGACCCCTGGACGGCCCGGCGCTGGGCCCTCAGGAAGTGCCAGTTAAATCAAGGGATAAAATGAGGGTTTGGAAAGAGGCCTCGGGCACAGGGGAGCCTTCTGGGGAGCCCGCCGCCCTGCGCCCGAAGCAGGGGACCAGGCAGGTGTCGTGACTGAGGTGGCCCGCCAGCTGGGGTGGGGGTGGGTGGCCCCACACTCAGACCCAAGCCAGCACCCCCCATGGGGATCTGCGGGGTCACCTGAAGGGTGGTCTCTGTTCGGGGCGTGTCCTGGCTCCCCAGACACCTGCCTTCCCCAGCGCCCTCGTTTTGCCCTGGGACCACCTCTGGGCCCTGGACCCCGGTGGCACCAGGGGTCTGAAAGGGCCTCCTGTCTCCCCGTCCTCAGCCGGTGCCCCCTTGGCCCTGGCCCTGTCCTGGGCCCCCGGAGCCCCGGGGCCCCTGCGGCTGGGCCTGGGTCACGCTTGTCCACAGAGCTGGACCAAAGCTTCATCTCCATTGACCTGTGAGCGTCCAGAGCCCGGGGTGGGGGTGGGGGGCTGGGAGCCGGAGCCCCCACCTGCGCCCCTTCCATCCCATCATGCAGCTGAGTCCTGGCGGGTGGGCAGCACGGGGGCCCACAGGCAGGCGACCTGCGACCTCACTGGCCAGCTGCTACGTTCTCACCTGCTCCAGCAGCGGGGGGCCTCCCACCCAGCAAAGCGGCCCAGGCAGCGGGTGGGGTGGGGGCCAGAGGCAGCGGCCTGAAAATGACCTCCTCCAACACCAGAGCAGGGATCACCACCCTGTCCCGTCCCAAGGTCCCTGAGGCCAGGGCACCACCGTCCCCTGCCCAATCCTCAGATGTGTGGCAAGAGGCAGGGGTCCACTCTGAGCCCAGGATCCTTCTCTCTCAGCAGGTCCCTCCATGACCTCCTAGGCTTGATTCTGTCATTTGGCCCTCCTGTCAGCACCCCTGTGAAGCACCAGGGGTGCTGGGGGGGTGCTTGAGGCCCCCCACATCCTTACCCCCTCCAACAGTCCCCAGCACCCCAGGCACCTCAGTGAGGCAGAAGGTGGGAGAGAGGAAATCTCGCCCAGGTGGACCCCCCTCCCTTCCTCTCACCCTTCAGGTCTCCACTCTGAGCCCCTGTCCCCAGGCCCACCCTGCCTGCAGAGCTACGCCCATCCCACCCCTCACCTGTGCCCAGGCTTAGGGCTCACACGTGTCTGGGCAGTGGCCCCTCACCCTGAGGAGGGCCCGTCCCGTGTCTGCCGGGAGCCTGGGCCCCTGCTTCCTGCGTGTGGACCCAGGTTGCGGGGAGGGGGTGTCAAGACTGAGTTGAAAGCCTGTTGCTTGGACACCACAGTGTCCGGGACCCCCACCTGCCCACGACTTTGAACCCCACACCACTACCTCCTCTCCCGCCCAGCCCCCTCCCTACCCTGCTCGGCCAAATTTGCCCCTGGTTTCTAGGCCGCAGGAAGCGTGTGAGCTCCCTGAGCAACATCAAAGCAGGAGGCGCGAGCGGCTCGGATCAATCGTGCCGGCGGCCCGTCTTCCTGCGCGGCTGCTGCCCCCGGAACCGCAGCAGAACGCATCGGGGAGCACGCCCGGGGGGACACAGGCTGTGCTGGGGCGGGGAGACACTTCGAGCAGAGAAGCTCAGGGCACACGGGTCCTCCCCTCCCGGGCGGCTGGGGACACCGAGGCCCAGGGCCCAGCCGGCCCAGCGTGGCGCTGGAAACGCCTCGGAGCAGGGACGGGGCTGCGGCGGCGGCGAAGCGTGCGGCCGGGCTGGGGCGCTGGCCGCCTGGGGCAGGGGCCGGCCTGCTCAGACGGATCCACGGAAAGGACGTAGAAGAGCCCTAGTCTGTGTGTGGTTTGAACACAGCTCCTCTGCTGGTCCACGCGGGCCCAGAGGCCAGGAAGCGCCTGGTCGTCCCTCGGACACGCCCGCTGGTCCGACAAGGAACCACGCAGGAACGTCCCAGGCTCCCCGATGGGTCCTCAAGCAGCTGTCACAAGGCTGACCACGGATGCAGTAGAGCAAACCCCACTGAATTCAT